ACACACAAACACATCCACACACGTACATACACACATACATACAGACACGCAGACATACACATAAACACATACAAAAAAACCCACATACATACACACACACATACACACAAACACATACACACACATACATACACAGATACATACAGACACACAGACATACACATAAACACATACACACATACACATGAGCCGGCTTGGCCAGGGACTTGGATCCACCAGGCCCGGCCGCCTTTGTCTCCCCAGTGCCGATGTTAATACGCCACACCAGTTACTCGTTTGAGGCTGAGTCCCTCCCTCGCCACTCTCCCTCCCTCGCCACTCTCCCTCCCTCACCACTCTGTAGAGGACGTGAAACTTTGATGAATTTACCTCAGAGTGGCGTGGTGGGTGTCGAGGCCTAGCAACGTGCAGAGCCTCCCGCGTCGCCTGATTTTCCCACCCGGCTGACGCTGGGTACGGGTGCCGGTCCCCCCCCCCCCCCCCCCCGCGCTACAATAATACTGTGTAATCGCTATAATGTAATAATCGACCGACCCTATAATAGTAATAGCACACATTGTGGTGGGGGGGGAGTGAAGAGGACGTGAAACTTAGATGAATTAACCTCAGAGTCGCGTGTTAATGCGTGCGCCTATTTTTAACGGGAATAAAAAATATGGCGTCCACCCGGCTGCTGGGAAGGCGTGGCTACCCGTTGGCAGGGGCAACCGCCGTCCAATGAAAGCGGCGAAGGCGTGGCTACCCGTTGGCAGGGGCAACCACCGTCCAATGAAACTGCAGCCCGCGGCTAAGGCGTCGCTACCCGTTGGCAGGGGCAACCGCCGTCCAATGAAAGCGGCGAAGGCGTCGCTAGCCGTTGCCAGGGGCAACCGGCGTCCAATGAAAGTGCGTATGGTCCGGGGACACACACACACACAGACAGACAGACAGATTCGCGATTTTATATATATAGATGTTACAGCCAATTAATGAGTGTTTATACGTTTTCATAGAATCTCCCGTAACCTTTTCATGCCAAAAATCAGTGCTATCGAAGAGTCCGTCTCATACCTTGCATTTGCTCTTTAAACTTAGCCTGCAATCATTGTCATCTCATTGTTGCATTCTATGATCTTATTATATACAGTATATGGCTTACTCTTTGGGTATTTCGGTTATGTCCTGCAGTCACGAAAGCTTTAAGTCAAGTATATGGCTTCTTAGATTTGGACACTCGCTTCCTTATGTTCCCTGTCATAATCAGAACACTTTGGCTCAATCAGAGCCATTTTAAATCCTTCCCGAAGTGGTTTTGTTTGCTTACATTACCCCCATCCCTCCATTTCTTCCCTCCTCTTCCCTTTCCCTACAAATCTGCTGCTCATGAACGTTACCCCTATGGTGGTAGGTCAGTGAGCCCCAAGTGCCTCCAGTCGCCTCCCTTCTCCGAGGGCATATCGTTCCGGTGTTTATTGCGCGCTCGTGACCTGTATTCCCCTCGTCGATGTTTGCGTTGTGAATGTATTGCGTCTATGAGAAAGGAAAACAACAAAAATCCTTCCCGAAGTGAGTCTGGGTCTGATGTTCCTTCTTCCAAGGCTTACTTCCATAAAGGTGATGTCCCCGATTGTTTCACTGGTCCACATTTTCGCTTGTTTGTCTCTCAGTATAAATCAAAGCATGCATCCCTCCGTGCTTCTTTGCGCACTTTTCAGCTGATACCATAAAAATTGCGACAGTAATTTTCTATGTTTTATTCACTTTCGCAGTGTGTGTGTGTTTAAATCCATGAAGTGAGAGAATGTCCCGAGTGTCCATTTGCCTACAAATGTCCCCTGGCAAGAACATATATAATATGACATAGATTAATGCTTTCCTTACCCAGGGTCCAATCTCAACATTGATGTATATTTTAATGGAATACTTCAAAGCAAGTGTTGCTGTGATCTAACACATTGTGGCGTAGTGCGTGAAGCCTTCCCCGTGAGCTGGAGAGAGTGTGGTCAGGCCGGTGTGGGAACGGGTTTTGGGGGAGAACACGCCAACCAGGCCTAGCGAAACGTAGGCTATTTATAAACGGACCTCTCACAGGATTGGCCCAGGGACCGAACAATAGGCTGTGCAGCCCTATTAAAGGAGAGCCCGAATCAGCAGAGTTGCATAGGGGAGGTGTAAACCCTGGAAGAGGGGTACTCTGCGAAGCAGAGTTGCATAGGGGAGGGGGAAAACCCCTGGAGGAGGAACGCGGGAACTCTGAAGCAGAGTTGCGTAGGGGAGGTGGACGACCCCCCTTTCCCCCCAAAAAACGTCCGTGTGTGTCTCGGGGAAGCGGTAGGGACCTTAGGTGTCAGTGGATGTGTGTGGCTGATCTTGTATTGATTCTTATTCAGTTGATGTTCTTTGTGATAGCCTGCTCCACGGTTGTAACTCCTCTGCCTAGGGTGGTCGATGTCAGCTCGGGGAGTAATAAAATGCTGACATAACTAACAGCCAGGACTCTGAGTGGTCGAACACCAGCGCAACTCTTTTCACCCCAACCGTCAGCCCTCCTGATTAGGCAACGTGGCACACATTACACATCTGATTGGCAATTACATGGTATGGCAGGTTCCAATTGCAGTTTAGAGATTAATGCCCCTAAACCTTTGTATACAAATATAGGCTTACAACCCAGTTTGTATAATGTTCTCACTTGAAATTGTGGTCAACGTTCCTCATACAGTACCACATCGTAATATATTTGTGCCATCTGCAGCGGGTTGAGCGGAGTGGCACAGTTTGTTTCTGTGCCACTGCTAACATAAGTGGCGATTGACATCTCAGCCAGTCCCATGCTGCCCCTTCACCCAGCCCACACTGATTGGTGTGGTGAAGCATGGTCAAACATGCCCACACGTGACACAGCAGGAGGAGGCCTTCATCCAGCAGTGGCTTGGCAAAAGTTTTGAATTAATTATGTTATTATTGCTATGATTGTCATCTTCAGGGGGAGGATTACTTCGTCACAGACAATGCTATTCTTATTTCCCCATTGATTGCATTGCAGAAAGAGTCCTCTCGTTTCAAGGTTGCAAGGCAATATACGCTGCCCTCATTCTGCATACGCCACTCATGCTTTAGTCCGAGATTACACTTTTCCCTTAACCTAGTCCTCAGACGGTTGGATTATAATGAAAAAATACCGAGTTGAATATGAATAAGAATACATATTTTACGAGGACAGCTGTGTCCTGGATCATTCCATCCACCCTTGACCACAAATATAATTTTGGCATCAAGGTAAAGTCAAATCGGAGGCTCCTTCCCAATATTATATCCGCACTGCATGCGCGGCATTGCCTTTTCAGAATGTCTCCGTGCATTTGGGAATACAGTATTTAATTTTGCGGGTGATTTCTGTAAATGTAGCAACTGTGTTTGTGACACGTTCGAAATGACCTTCACGGGCTGCTATAATTACGTTTCCTTAATCTAACTGCGAACAATATTATTTATGGATTCTTAAATGGCATTCGGCTAAGTGTCGTCAAAATGACGGTGCCTTTATAACAGCCCCACAAAACTGGCTCTATGCAAACTAGCTTAGCACCTTGTGCCTTAGTAGCAAAGGTAGTTGGTGCTGCTAACCGCTGGACTATTTAGCCACAACAACAACGTACACGTTCTGTACGGTTGGCTACGTACGGTGCGTTCTTTGGTTTGACACTGGTGAGACTAGGCCATGAAGAAGGCTGTCTCTGGTGCAGGCCAATCATTTTCAATGACAATGCATAGATAATTATCAGAGCATGTTTGTTTGCATGCTCACCACAAGTATGTGTGGTTCATTCAGACACGATTCCTTGCAAAAGGTTTCTATTTGGTGTTTGAACATCTTAACACCTTCTGTTTTATTGTCACAAAGGGTAAAACGTATTCATATTTTGCATACGATGTGAAAGAAGTTCAACATATGTACATACGTGGGTAATGCACCACCACAGTGGAACAAGTGTAATGTCCCATAGTGAGACTTACACACGGACAAGTGTTGGGGAACATTTTGAGGAAGCGATCAAGGGGAGGAGAGAAAGGAAGCAATTAAAGGGGTCTGCAGGGATGGCAAGCATGGAGAGATGCACGCTGAGAATGACACTGAGACAGGAATGGGAACACGCGGATTAGGGGACATGCGCAGGTTGCCGACGTCATCCAAACCGTTTAGAAAAAGTTTGTGGGCTTGGGTAGGACACGTCGCTAAGAAGGGACGATGGGGCAAGAATAATAACCGAAGTGGGAACCATCCCATCGCTCCATCTTTCATCAGTGGATGTCTGAAAGGGCGTCCACTGGTTTGGAGATGGAGCGATCAGATTCGTTCAAGTGCAGGTGCTGCCTGGGTCGCTGCATTGCGGCATGGTGGGAGGTGGTGGCGGCTTGGTGACGCACGGGGGTTGAAGGGCGAGGGTTTGAGGAGAGACTTTAAAACAACCAGATGGAGGGGGGTGGGGGGGGGCAGGTGGAGTTGCCTGGCGACGTAGCTCCCAGCTATTTAGAGACGTGCCCCCAATATCCAGATGAATGCAAAGCAAATCTGAAATCAGGCCTGGATATGTTACATTACGTATGAATGGAAATAGATTTTTGTTTTAGGAATGATCCGTAGAAACGTTTGCACTTTTCACGCCAAAAGTGGTGTCAGGTGACATTGGGTGACGTCACTATTGTTAGCACAAAGACATTTTACAGAGACATTGGTACATAATTATGCACAATTGATGAATATATTAAATACATTTTCATTGATACATTATGCCAATGATCAGAAAACCAGAAAATATCATAAATTGCCCTGAAAAATCTGATAATCCGAGAAACCTGCATTTTTTGTAAACCCAGACCTCTTCCCCACAAGATTCTGTATTGCAAAGCAATCCTCTGGGGCAGGAAGTCGAGCAGGAAGTCGAGCATAGCCAGAGCCACGTTGCTGTTTGCAATAATGGGATGATGAGTGCTGCACTCCATGTTGTGTGCGTGAGCAGTCGTGCTGGTGCTGGTGTTCGGGCTGTGCTGGGCTCCGTTCCACGTCGACCGTCTCTTCTATAGCTTCGTCACCAAGTGGACCGAGACCCTGGCGCTCGTGTTCAACACTGTGCACATCATGGCAGGTGCAATGCGAGTGCGAATGCAGCCCCGACTCGAACGTGGGCAACAAAGCATTGAGACTGAAATGTCTCTTTCTCAAGGGGGCCCAAAGCAGATATTATAGTTGGATGAGTCAAGTGAATGCAAACATTATGCGACGGACAAGCTACGTAACTGAATATCAGAGTCGCTTGAAATAATTACGTTGATAGACAGCACTTGCCCCAACAGTCCTGTGTAGGCTGCTACATGGGAGGTGGGAATGTCTGTTTATATTTCTTACTTTCACCCCTGACGGCAAAAACTACCGCGTCGTTTCTCCCCTGCAGGCGTCCTATTTTACCTGAGCTCTGCCGTCAACCCGATCATCTACAACCTGCTCTCGACGCGCTTCCGCGCCGCCTTCCGCGAGCTGCTCTTCCGCCAGCTCAGCCGGAGCACCTCGCTGGGCTCCAGTCCTGCCAAGCTGTCGCTGGTGAACCGCCACAGCCTGACGGCGCTCAGCGGCCAGACGCTCAATCTGGGCGAGCTCGTCGACCTGGGCTGCCCCGCGCCGCTGCTATCGGGAACCGCCGCGCGGACGGCCACACTACCGGTGACCAGGGAGAGCATCCATCACATCTGCCTGTGAAGAAGAACTGCCGGCTGTAAGCCACCGAGAAGCTCAGTAGGCCCGGATTGATGCAGCGGGGCCTTTTAGAGGCTGCAGCCCCAGAGTGTCGGATTTTCCGGGGATCTAACAACAATATTTGAGTGCTTTGCTTAACGGTTGAAATGCAATACTGTGGCACTATGATACATGTCTGGTATGCGGAAGTGCGTGTGTTCGGTCTCGACCCTGATTCCTGCTGTATATTTGGAGTTTGCATGTTCTCCCCGTGGTTGTGTGGATTTTATCCGGGTTCATTAGGCTATAATTTGTGGTCAGGTGGCTTCTGAAAAAGAGCTACATTGCTCAGTGGGCCTTACCTAGTAAAATAAAAAGTTAAAGTTATTTGGGTGACTTGGTAATTGAAGCATCAATGTACCTCACTACCAGTAATTTGCTGAAATTCTCAATTATTCTTTAGAACTTTGACTTATGTTAATAATTCGTATATATCTATTTTTTTTAAGAGATGAAATAACCAAGGTGAGTGACATCCGAGTGTTTGCCGTTGGGTACGAATGGTGGAAAAACAGTGGTGGGAAGGAATTGAATAAATAAAACTTATAACGGCCCCAGATCATGATGAAACTTAATCCGGCCCTGACCATGCCAATCCACCGGCTGTTGTAATGGGCAGCCAGGATATCGTTACGGGCCTCTGATTGTAGTAACTTGCCATTAACCACATGCTTAAGCAGAGAGAGCCTGGTGTACACACTCCCAAGCAACCATATACTCCGTCGTTTTGGCTTATACTGGATTCAAACTATCACCATTCATTCGTGGTAATGTTATGTATACTCTTTGGTTCTTTCGGTAAAGTCACGTAGGTATAAAATAAAATAAACCACGACGTTTCGAGTGGAACACAAGCGTCCATCATCAGGTGGGAAAGCATGGTCTGCTGCTGAGGCAGACTGTTTTAAAAGGTTTGAAATGGGTGTAGCTCAAGGGTCATAAAGAAGTGGCCGGGGCTAGTGATGTTATTGTGAGAAATTAGCATGTAACTGTAAGATAGGAGAGCGGCCTCTTCGACGAGGGCACGGAAGTGGCTATGTTAATGTGAGGGATTAGCATGATGTTAATGTGAGAAATTAGCATGTAAAAGTAAGCTCGGGGAGCTACACCCATTTCAAACCTTTTAAAACAGTCTGCCTCAGCAGCAGACCATGCTTTCCCACCTGATGACGGACGCTTGTGTTCCGCCCGAAACGTCGTGATTAATTTTATTTTATACCTACGTGACTTTACCGAAAGAACCAAAGAGTATGGATTCCTGAAGTCACGAAAGCTTCAAATCAAGATTGAGTATGGATTCCTGAAGTCACGAAAGCTTGAAATCAAAATGTAATGTGTGTTGAACTGCTTTCGCACCGTATGTAGCCAACCGTGCTCATCGGAGGTGCGTGAAAGACAGCGGTGTTTGACTTCCTCAATTACTACCATGGTAAAGGTAAACGGGCATAGTGCAGCCCTGCACTGGCATGCCGATGGAAAGGCCTCCGATAGAGGGTATTTGACCGACCTCTTGCAGAATTAGAATCAGAATATTTATTTATACCCGAGGAATCCACGTTACAACAACAAACAATACAAACATACGATCGTAGTGCAAAGTACAAGAAAGGTAAACAAATCACCAAATCACATACAACTAAACCATCCCCATCCTACCAGGCAAACCCCACTGAGGTATTAACTTGTGTTTCTAAAGCAACCTGATCATAAATGATAGCTCAACAAAGTGTCCTATCATTTGGACATTTATGCCAGCACAATAATCTACATAATCTCAATGCATGTTTCTAAATGTGGAGGGGAAAACCCACACGACCACGGGGAGAACATGCAAACCCCAAATGTACAGCAGGCGTCAGGGTCGAGATCGAACCCCCGACCTTCTGCATACCAGACGAGGTAGTTAACATCACAGCTTTAAATTGGTGAGAGCAACCCAAACTATACCCCAACACATGTGACCTGCCGATCGAACAACTGCAGAGTACCGATTGATAATGCCAAGTCGTCAGAGGCAGTGGAGCTTCAAGAAACCTGCTCCAATCGTTTCACCGTTGACCCCCGTCTTGCAAGTCCAGTTTTGCTCACCAGTACACCACAGCGGCAAATTAATGTAACGGTGTAAGGCCATTATCCGGACTATCTATAACATCAATTGCATTTCTAAATCTTAATTGTCGGGTATTGCACACGTTAGTTCGCTGTGCTCACTCTAAATGTGGACACGCAGTCTTTGTCATACAACCTCCTGCGATGCAGCAATTAAACAGACCGGCAGGGCATCACGCGAACGTCAAAGCAACACAAGGCCACCAGCAAGAGAACAATTACATGTGCCCACAATGACGACGAATTCCTTCACCCGAGATGTATGAATATTCTTGTTTTAAATTAGTTGGGGGGAACTGTTTACGTGTGAAAGTTAAGTTTCAATCCGTCGTTCTCAAATCAGCGCTTAGCCCGTCACCGTGAGCGCACCATCGCTCACTCGGCCAGCAGCCGCGGTGGAGCTGGGTTGCAGCCAACTCAACTGCTATTTGTCTTTGTGTGCTGGCGTGACTTTGCCACTGTTGTACTCTTGGGACGAAAGTCAACGTTGGAATTGTGTTGATCACTGAAGAACCCAAACTATTGTTGTTGTTGTTGTCCTTTAAGCACAGAATCAGAATATTTATTAGTACTGGAGAAATCCGATGAGCTATAAAGCTATTTTGTCACAGATGTCCAGTCCGGGGCGAGTTAGAACGTAACAACAAACAAAACCAAAACACGATAGCAGTGCAGAGTACAAGAAAGGTAAACAAATCACACAAACACAAATAAAACGAAACCATCCCCATCCTATCAGGCAACGATCAGAGGTATTAACTTATTTTTCAGAAGTGACCAGGCCACAAATTGTAGCTCAACACAGTGGCGTATCATTTGGACATTTATAGCAGCAAATATATCTCAATAATCTCAATGCATGTTTATAAATGTGAAGGGAAAACCCGGAGGATCCGGAGAAATAAATCCACGCAACCACGGGGAGAGTGACATGCAAACATTGTTTGCTGGAGAGGGGGTGACGAACGGACACTTGGTTACGCCACCGAAATCAGGGTGGAGCGTGACGGATGTGCTAGAGGAACCCACTGGCCCAATTCGCCGTGTTGTTTTGTTTATCACAACTGCAGTGTCTCGAGTCAAAGAAGCAATGGGCAGCACTGACCATCGCTGGCTCTGAACTAATGGTGGACAATCTACATGACTATAGCAGGGACTCATTAACACTAATCAACACGGCCAAGTCTGACTTTTTTGTTGTTGTGCACCCTGGAGCAGTGTCTCTCAGGAGTGTGGTTCCCCGGTACCCCCGGTCGGTGATCCGGGACACTCCTCGAGGTGGTCCGCGGGGCCCGTGATGTCAACGCAGGTTGATCCGGGCAATAATGACGTCTATTATACCTTTTGTTTCTGACATGAATTAATATTTTACTTATATTTGGTTTAAAAAAAGTTCGGTAAATTACCCTGATTAAACTACCCTAACCCTGATATTTAAATGCCCCCCCTCCTCCCCTTAAAAAAAACCTTATAGCTGCGTAAAAAAAAACATGTTTTTATGTTGCGGTAATATTAATCATTTTGTATTACAGGGACTCCTCCACTTACGAACGAGTTAAGTTCCAGAGGTCTGTTCGTAAGTCGATTCGTTCTTGTGTCCAACTCTACTACTGTCGATTCCAAGCTTGTGGTACGGCATGTACACGAAACACGAGGGAATGGCTTTAAAAGTTGTATCATGTCCTGTAAATGTAGATGTCACTGGTTCTTCACGTTCTGCATATGTAGACGCCACCACCACCATCTGTTGCGCGGTGGTTGAACTTACAACTCTCGGTCCGAACGGGTAACTGGGCATACGTATCTCTGAAAGTTCGTAAGTCGAGTGCTCGTAATTGGAGGAGTCCATTTAGAGAGAGATATGAATGCGTTTTGTCACCAGGGGTGGGGGCGCTGTGCGGTCCACGGAAATGTTTGCATCGGCTGGATGGTCCTCGGGCTAAACAAGTTTGAGAATTTCCGCCGTGGCGAGATGACCGAGTTGACCCGTGAGTGGTATTTGAACATGGCTTTTCGGTGGCTTTTCCAGTGGCTTTCCGGTGAACTTGGCTTTCCGGCGGAGAGGTGGGGCACCTCTGCTTTCGTGCCAACCACGCTGGGCTGCGCAGGTGCCGGCCCACGAATGAACGCACCACAATTCAGATGGGGTTGCACGATGTCTGGCATCACGAACCCCTGAACCTTTGTCCCCGTTGTGCAACGGGAACGAGATAAGTGGTGGCTGGATGCGCAATAGTGTTGAATCCATTTCCACCAACAGCCACGGCGACTGTACGCGCCGGGCAGCGAGTTCACTTTGTTATTGCGCGTGTTGCTAATTGAGGCAACTTCACAAATGAAAGCGTTCGAATATTTACATCCAAGACTCAGCTATATGGGATATCACATGTTGCGTTTGTAGCTATACTGTAATCGGACTGGTCAGAGTAATTGAATGTGATGATATTCACATTCATGGCATCCAATCCAATGAAACTTGCATCGCTTTTGTAAATAATTTATGTCGTTATTGATTGTTATTTTGTAATTGTGCCTATTGTGAGTAAAGTTTGAGGCGTGTGTAATTTATGTGCAGTACGTACTTTCCCAATGTGGGGAAGAGCGATGGTGCAGCGGCTTGCGCACAGGCCACTGATCTCAACCACTCGAGTTCGACTCCCGGCTATGGCTATACCACGAGTAGCGAGTGCTATCAGTACTGGCCCTGGTCCCTTCAGACAGTCCAGTCTAACTTACCTAAACATTTAAAAATATATATTTTACCAGGTAAGGCCCACTGAGCTATCTAGTATCTTTTTTTCAGAAGCGACCTGGCCACAAATGATAGCTCAACGAAAGTGGCTTGTCACGTGGGAATTTATAGTAGCCAACTACTTTAAATGCGCGTTGATTCTAAATGTGGAGGGAAAAACCCAGAGGACCCGGAGAAAAATCCACGTGACCACGGGGAGAACACAGTCACTTCCTTAGCCATCTACTTCGTCATGCTGTATCACATTTGTTCATCACATGCCAATAAACATATACATTATAAGTTCTAGATTTGAAGCTTTCGTGACTGCAAGGATTCATATTCTTGGGTTTTTTCGGTAAAGTCACGTAGTAAAAAAATTTAAATAAATTTTATTTTATTTATATTATAAGTCATTGTTATCCTCAGAGGTGGGTTATGTCCAAATTAAGTGCTCTTTCTGTACTGTTGTCAATGATTTAGCCTGGTAAGTCCCAAGTCTCAGGATTATGTTTCATGGCGGGATAGGCATTGGGGATGTTTGGACAATTTAATGCAAGATTGCTTGGAGTATTTGAGAAGACGCAATGTATTAT